GAGGAAAAATGCTTCATAGCTTTAATCATTAGAATGATAAAAACAATTGCTGATTTCATATATATATATATATATATACATATATATATATATATATATATATATATATATATATATATATATATATATATATATATATATATATATATATATATATATATATATATAATATATATATATATATATATATATATATATATATATATCAGTTTCACTATTTTTTCATTATTAGTTGTATTTCATCAACCTGATTCAATCAAGTTCAATTAAATGTGTCTAACTAATTGGATTTTTTAAATGAAATAAGTTGATTGGACAGGTATTGGTGATACGTCAAAGACTAGATGGAAGGAGAGACAATTTTATTTGTTAAGGTTTCCTTTACAGAGTTTTGCTTCTAACAGACTTACTACAAATGGAAAAAAGCTCAAAAGGTATTTCTGGTTTAATCTCAAAAAAGCAATTGTTATATTGATAATTAATTAACAATAGCATTTGTTACGTGTTCAAAGTTAACTTTTTAATATTCTTCTTGAAATTTTTGAGCACTACACAAATCAACACCAAAATTGGTTGTCCAGTTACTTCTGTAAGGACGTATTTAAGATGCTCCAGATTTGCTGATGGAATGTGCAGAGGGAGCACTAAAGCAGATATTTGATGTTATCTCTATTCTGAGGATGCTTATTGGTTTATGGAAACAGGCTGGGTTTAACGATGTTGTTATTGCAACCTAGCAAGCTATCATGACCAGAATTACTAAGAAAGTCAAGAAATTCTTTATTATAAAAATGCTAAAAACACTAGAACTACTAGAGCGCACCTACAGAAAGAAAGTGAACTGTTTTTTTAAAAGAAACCAGGGTACGCTTCTCTAATCATAAAACAAACATACTTTATTTTATTTATAAAACAAATATATTTGATTTTATTCATAAAAAAAACATTTGATTTAATAAAAAGTGATAAAATAGGGGTGACTTGATTTGTTGAACGCGTGATGACTCAGATGTACCACTCAGATGTACAATTCAGATGACTCAAATGTACGACTCAAATTAACATTAACCCATCTGAAGGCTGCGACCAACTACATTGTATATTTTTATGGACTTTTCTTTCTGAAAAGCCCTAATGCTTCTCAAGCACCCTCAAATGGTTTAATAACGTTCAATATAACTTTTTAGCTACAAACAGTAGGAAAGTTTAAAGAATTTGCATCAAGACCCTTTACCATTTTTTCTTTCTTTTAAAATGTTAACATGAGCTTGGTCAGTTGTATTCAGCGCATTATCTTGTGAAACTTTTACTTCGTGTGAGTTCACATGAAGAAAAAGTTTCACACGCTTTGTGATTTCAATTTGATTCTTTCCAAATGTAAATCGCCTGTATTCTTCACTTCTAGTTATAAATTGCACTCAGTTAAAAGTTTATTTAGTTTTGAAAATTTACGGACTGAATCTGAAAACGTAATTTTGTTTTCAAGCACATCAACACCACTTGTTTGGGACTAACAGAGTTTAATCATAGAAATCCAAAGTATTATACAGTCAGTTTATTTCATTATTTAATTCTGTTATTTTATCGTTGTTATCATCAAGGTATTTACAACTCTTACTTATCAAAAAATATCCTAAAAATGTATAACTTGACTATTAAAACTTTAAATTTAGTAACGTAACTTACAAGCATAAACAGAATAATTTTTTTTTTGTATTTCGCTAAACTTCTTATTTTGAAACACTATTACAATACTTTTTATGATAAAAAACTAAAAAAAAAGATATGAAATATATGCAATATAGGTGTGATTTTTCTAAATATTCTTGCATAGGACATGGTACTAATAGCTCTATCTTTAAGCCCAATACAAAAAGCAAAATTTTATATACTCAAACGAATATGTTGATAGGACATTTTTACAGGTGTTCAAGCTCAGTCCGCCACTAAAAACAAGATCTTTCTACAAATGTAATGTAATCTTACTGACAACTTTGCTAATTTACTGTTGTTCCGCACTGCTTGTCTCATTGTTTTATGGATGTTTTAAGCATTAAAAATGTATTGCTCTTTGAAAATAAAACGTGTTTTATTGTAAGTATTAATACCCAACAAAAAAACACATTTTATTTTAAACATTTTATTAGGGCCGTCCTAAAGGGGAGGGGAGCACATTGAGCAAGCTTTGAACTATAGTTGGCAAATTGCAATTGTTGAGTACCTTTTATTTTTTTTAGTATTATTTAGTTGGCAAAAAAATACATACACCCCCTCCCCCATTGAAGATCTTTTCGGGACGGCCCTGCAAGTTATATGTTTTACTAAAACACTAAAACTTTTAGTGTTATAAACTGTATTAAACAACCTATATAATAATATTATAGAAAGGTTTTTAAATATTTGAAATAACCAACTTTTAAACAAAAAGATTATTCCAAATTTTTTTATGTTCGTATGTATGAAGAAAAGGTTCTTTACAAAAAAAATTACTGTGGAATAGGAGATTATAATAATAATAATAACAATAATAATGTACACTGTGACAACTGATGAAATCAATTGTGGAGCACAACAAGAGAAGATGTTGTGCTATAACAGCTATAAATGTTTTATAATAGCATTGTTTACTTTTCAATGTATATAGATATTATTTAGTATTTAATAAATAATTTTTGCAGTAATCTGTATTATCAAGTTTATTTTTGAATTGGTCAATTGTCATTGATTCGATAATATATGGTGGTAAACCATTCCAAGCATTTACGACTATACAGGAAAAGAAATTATATCTATAATTGCTCTTACAATATGCCTTTGTTAACTTTTGGTTATGACTACGAAAATTGTAAGGTTTTAATTGAACTTGAGATGTCGAGTCGTTTATCCAATTTATTTTCTCATAACCGTTTTGTATTTTATATTGAAAAATAAGATCTCCTCTTAAACGGCGTTTTTCTAGAGTTGTTAATTTCATTAACTGTAATCTTTTTTCATATGGCATTTTTTTAAAAGCTGGTACGAGTCTTGTTGCCCTTCTCTGTACTTTTTCTAACTTTAAGATGTCTTGCTTCAGATAAGGGCACCATGCTTGGATTGCAAACTCAAGATGCGGTCTTACAAAAGTTGTATATAATTTTTTTGTCATATTTGAGTCGAAATATTTAAAAGTTCGTTTAATAAGAGCAAGCATTTGATTTGATTTACCAACAGCTTTATCAATATGACTGGTCCATTTTAAATTAGATTGCATCATTACTCCTAAATCACGTTCTACTTTTGATGCTGCTAATATATTATTCTGTTAAGTTTCAGCGTCGAACATTGAATAAGTTATACAAGGATTTTTAAAACCAATGTGCATAATTTTACACTTTTCATAGTTAAATTTCATTAACCATAGTGACGACCATTTCATAATATTATCAATATCTAGTTGTAATTTGTTTATACGGATATCTTCATCTGATTTAAAAATATTTATAATTTTGCTATCATCTGCATACAATTTAATATTATTTTTTAATGTGTCTGGCAGATCGTTTATAAAAATAAGAAACAGAAGAGGCCCAAGGACAGAACCTTGTGGAACTCCACTCTCAACTGTTAGCCATTTTGATACACAATCCCCTAAAATTACTCGTTGCTTTCTATTATGTAAATAGGCTTCTATCCAATTTAGAATTACTCCAACTATACCATATGATATTAACTTTGACATCAATCGCATATGAGGTACTTTATCAAAAGAATTTGAGAAATCTGTATACAACACATCAACACACCAGCCATTCTCAATAGCATCAAGTAAAATATCTTGTGTTTCTAGTAGATTAGTAGTACAGCTTTTGTTCTTTTGAAAACCATGTTGGTTACTATTTAATAAATTGTTTGCTAACATGTAATCCATTATTTTTTTACCTAAGATTGACTCTAGAATTTTGCATGGGTTTGGGAACAAGATTGGGAACAAGAAACCCTAAAATCTTAGCCTCCTTTACCCTAATTGTGAGGGCGATGAGTTGAATTAATTATTTTTTTATAAATATAAACTAGTTATGTATTCTTCGACAGATTTCAAATTTTATGTTTAAATTATTTAGTGTTCAGTTTTTATGACCATGTAAAGTTTGTGGCCCCCTTAAATTGAGGGGGGGGGGGAATCTTAGGTCATAAAAACGGAACACTGAATAATTTAGACATAAAATTTGAAATCTGTTGATGAATACATAACTAACTTATATTTATGAAAAAATAAATAATTCAACTTATTGCCCACACAATTAGAGTTGGGGAGGCTAAGATTTTAGGGTTTCTTGTTCCTTTTCGTCATACAAATGAACGTAAAAAAATTGGAATATTCTTTTTGTTTAAGAGTTGGTCATTTCAAACATTTAAAAGCCTTCCTACGCCACTGATTATATAGGGATATAATTTTATTAGGTAGATAATCATATTATTATAATTATAGGTATATAATTGTATTGTATATAAAACTATATAAAACAACATGGCGAAGTTGTTTCATATTAACTTAAGCTTATTATCATATTGACAAAACCTTTCACTGTTGCTTTAAAGTTATTTTATACATTAACAATTCAATACGCTTTTAAAATAAAACGTGTTTTATGGTGTTTTCTTAAATTTTTTTAATTTTTTATTACTACTGCTATATTGCTTTTTTGTAGCAATTTTCATATTGTAAGCCATTTTCTATCAAGTTTGTTGTTTGGAGCTTTTTCTTTGTTTAATGAAAAATATAAATTTTTCAAGGATTGCTTTTAGTCTGTAATTAGTTTTACGTAGTTAAATTAATGCTTACTTATTTTATACAGTTATTATCATTGGCTGTTTTAAAACAACAACTTGATAAACGATAAAATAAGATAATGAAACATTGTTTGTATTTACTTCATAATGTCCGGAGTACTCCTAGCAAAAATAATTCAACACAGCTTGTGTAAAAAAAAAACATTACGGTGAAGTGTTTTTTATGAATACCGATCCTTATATGGTAACTTAAACATGGGCGAATGTTTTATTAGGATCAGTCGCAGTTTTTGATAAGACAAAGGTTCTGTTGTTTTTTTAATTCTCGACAGGAGATTTATGCGTTTTAACTTTTAATATAAGGTTGTATTTGCGCCATCCTCACTACTGAAATACTCCGATTCTGTTATTTACTTTTTCTAAGTTTCGTTGAAAATGCCCGCTGAAGATTTGGAAGGTTACATATTTTGATTTTTGTTGACTTAATAAAAACGAATACTGTGTTTTTAGTTAAATATACTTTAAAAAGCATAAAATAAAGGCAGTTAGATTAGTGTAAATCCTTTAACGTATATAACCTAATGTGAAAATGTTGAATTGTTGTTATATTTATTAATTATAAGTACTGGAATATAGTATTTTACTACATTAAATATGCTCTACCCTAAAAGTCGTAAAAGCTTCACTACTGTTTTATAAAATTGATTCAAGATAAATAGGAAATCAGCTTCTCAGTTTAGATGCTGAGGTCTTTTGAGTTTCTCTCTCTTTCTTTTTATCTGACTGTGATTATTCAATGTTATATTAAACTGAAATCTTTATTGTAGTATTTATAAGTTTTTTTTATTTTTTTGATATATTGCTTATATCCTTTTTTTTAACCAACTCCGATCATAGCCATTATTAAATTTGAATTTGTGCTATATATATATATATATATATATATATATATATATATATATATATATATATATATATATATATATATATATATATATATCCTTACTTGTGTAGTTTGCACAGGTTTCCATGGTGCTATTTTTTATTACATATTGTTATACATGAAAGAGTTAAAGTAGTTAAAGTAATTTTTTTAAATTAGATGCTCTTACTGGCATTATTATTAAGGCAAAGCAAAAAACATGTCACAGATGTTTGTTAAAAACACAATAAAGTTACCATATCCAGATATATGAGGGTAAAACAAATGTTTATTGCACAACTCTAGTAGTTCTATATATACATGTACAACCCTTAAAGTCTGAGTTAGTTTAAGTCTGAATAATCTTGCATGTCATTATTGACATGCAAGACCAAATATATAATGATATATTATTATTATTATTATTATTATTATTATCATCATCATCATCATCATCATCATCATCAGGGATCTGGTATAGAATCTGGTATCCCATATGGAATCCAGCTTTAAATCTCTATTTTTCTCTGGTCTTGGGTTTTCAGAAGCTCCATAAATGTTGGTTGACTTATTTTCTGTAATAAGAAAAGAAAATCATGAGTTTTAATGAATTAGACTTTGGTTTTTTTTAAGCCCAAAGTCAAAAATTTATTATTTTCATTTTTGTAGCTCCTGGAGTTTGGAAAACCAGAATGAAATAACTTTTTGTGGCTTTCAAATCTAGAGTATTTTTTGGTACTCTTCATCCCTAATTATTATTAATGTATTTATTGCAAACAATATGTATATATATATAAATATGCGCAAGGTAAATAGATACAATTAAATACAAGTAAATGAAGAATAATAAAAAAAAGAGTCCTTTATAAAAATTAATAAAAAACAAAGAAAAGCGTTTTTATAACAACTTATTGTTCTGATAGTCTTTATACTCTGTTATGTAAGTCAATAGTGATATTTCTTTTAGCACATGTGACAACCTTATTCTTTAAACTAATCCTAAAGTTAGACATAATAGTGTTAAAAGTTGGGAGCCTTGGTTCTAAAGGCTTAGGCTGCAGTTCTGTATCAAAGTTCTGGTGTTCTAATGTTAAAGCTGTTCCACAGGGAAGGGTCATAAACATACACAAAGTGATAGAAATTACTTTAATAGTCTTATTAACATATTTGCTCAAGTATATAGATTTTTGATTTTTGTTTTGGCTTAAAATCTATACAAACTGTCTTCAATAATTTCTGCATAAAGAACCAAGATAAAGCTATTAGTACTATGCAAACAGCATAAGTAAATATCCCGCCTATATTGCATCCATTCAGCATATTCAAAATTTTAGATACTAAATTACTTATATAAAAATTAAGCGGTAATGGTGATATGATACAACCTTGTCCTACACCATTCCTGGTACTAAGTAGGTAATTAAGTTTCTGCCAAGTAATACACATTTCTCTACTACTGTACCAGAATGCAAACAGACATTTTTTAATATTCCATGATCTAATAGGTTACAAAACAGTAATCAATTATCGACATTATCAAATGTTATGTTTTAAATCTTTCATTAAACTTGTGATCAGCATTGTGAGATATAATACCAGTTTAATACTTGACAAAACTGATCATAATGGCTCAGCAAAATATTGCTAATATATAAATAGATCATAATAAATTTAAAAAAAAGTTCATATACTGTCTTTTTTATTGAACTCAACTTGTTTCTATATCATATAACAAAAAGACTTTTAAAGATATATTGTATTTATATTTAGAGCACCGAGATGCTTTTGGTTTGTTTGATAAACAAGGAGATGGAAAAGTAGAATGCGGTGAAATAGGAGATATGCTTCGGGCGCTTGGACTAAACCCTACTCAAGTTGATGTTAAAAAAGTTATTGCTGATATTGATCCTTCAGGTATAGTTGTATAATTGAAAAACATTTATAAACGTTTTTTGAAAAGGTTTTTCTATAGCTATATAATTGTGTTTATTTATTTTAGTTTTATATATTTTTGTATAGTTATATATATTGTAATATAGTTCTATAATTAAAAAACATTTATAAATTTTCTGTTTAAAATGTTGATAGTTGTATTACAAGGTTTTTGAAAGATTTGTAGTTATATTCTTTATTCAATTTTTATATATTTTATTCTTGTTTGTCTTGATAGAATATTAATTTTTTTTTTTTTAAGGACAAAAACGAATTTCTTTTGAAGAATTTATTCCAATTTTCACCACACAGCGCAAAAAGGTAATGTCTGCTGGGTTTGAACATTTTTCTGAAGGTTTTCGTGTATTTGATCGTGATAATAATGGAACCGTTAGTGTTGCTGAGATAAGACATTTATTAACAAGTTTAGGTAAAAGATTTTTTTATTGATTTATTGTTTTACAATTTCCTGTTTTCTTATTCAAACCTTGTTTTATATTCTTTCTCCAATCCTTTCTCAAAAAACTTATAATCTCTTATAAAATTGTAAAGCAAAATTTAAAAATATATTATTTAGTATTTCTAAATAGTTTCCAATGCACTAACTGTTGCTAAGCATTTTCATGCAAATATTTCATATTTAATGTTTATATGCGAATGTTATACTTTTATATTCAACTATTAGGATATACTAGTTAATCTATTGTCGTTTTTTCCCCCTCAGTCTTCTTTATTCTTTTAAAAGTTCTCTGCATATAAGGGCTGGCAGAGAAAAGAGAGTTTTATAATTCTCTTTTAAACCTTTCAATTTATAAAACATAAAACTTTATGGTCAATCAAGTGAATGATAAAGTATTATTATTTAGCTATAATTTAGTATGAAAAGTTGAAAATTAAAATAACTACAAATAAGATATCCTTATAATTCTTTGATAGTGTTTAATTTTAAAGGTTCTTCGTAGGATTACAGCATAACTAAATTGGTTTATGTAACCCTTAGATGCACTGTAGAGATGTAACCCTTAGAAGCATTGTAGAGATGACCTTATAGAGACAGTAGAGACAATGAGCAGTTGTTTTTTTAATAACTATAATTTTAATTGTTATTAATTTTTCAACTTATTTTTTTTTTACTCATTATATGGTACTTGGTTTCGAGCCAAAAAAATCTCATAACGTTATGTTAACAGCACTAGTCATGACAAGACTCTCAATTTAGCAATTAGCAGTTGTTAACTGATGAATTTTTATATATTCATTAACCTCAATTGGATTTTTGAAGGCTAGTTTGTTCAAAAAAAACCAATAGTACAAACCTAGTTAATCCTGTTAGTTAATAAAAACAATAATACCAAAATTTATCATTATTTTAGATTGCCATTGTACACTTACTATTACTATGTATGGAAATTTTGTGTTATTTTATGATGCAATTATGCATGAAAAGTATTAACTTTAAGGAGTTATGTTAAATATTTTAAGGTGAAAAATTAACAGATAGTGAAGTTGATACTCTAGTGCAAGGAATGGAAGACAAAAATGGAAAAATCAATTATGAAGGTATTTTATGTTTGTTCTTAAGGTTTTTTAAAATATTTATTATTTTGATTTTGTCATTTTTTTGTTTCTTAATTGCTAGAATTTGTTCGGACTGTTTTGAATGGGTAATGAACAATCAGTTTTCATTCTGTTATCAATGGATTACTATTGGCTTGAGTATATTTCGTTACTTCAATTAATATACTAAACATTAGACAGATGTTTATAACTTCAATGTATAGTTCTACTTTTTTATGTTACAATAGAAGAAAAGATGAAAATAGATTAAGTGATAAAATAAATAGAGAATTTCATTTAAGCATTAGTTCCTTTTTTTATTATTTTTTTTTTTATTATTAACATTTTTTTATAGTTTTATTTGATTTTCGAGTTTTGTATGGGATTTGACATCAAATTGATTGTTTTTTACGATTTTCTTTGTTAGCTATTTATACTTGATTTTTCTAACCGAATGAATAAATGTTTCATATTATCAGTTTTGTTTTTGTTTATTAGAATATTCTTGTCTATTTTTATACAAAAAAAACAACCCACAAATATAAAATACACATAAGAAATTGATGGAGAATGTTCTAGATATGAGAACTAAGGGATCGTCCAAAAAGTAAGTACGCTCGGAGGGGAAGAGGGGGTCTGCAAATGCGTATATGATATGGGAGGGCAGTGGGTCAATTATAAAAGGAGACACTAAGTTAAAAAAAATATAAAATGTTAGATAAATAGGTTAAAAGTGTAGGTATTTTTTGGGAAGTGGAGGGTACTCAAAAAAGCGTATTGCAAAATGTTGGGGGTGGACAAAAAAAAGGGTACAGTATCGGACAAAACAAGTGCAACCAAATAATACTAATTTAGTTTCTTTATATAAAAGTGCTGCATTTTTTCAATTTAGAGAAATAACAATGTAACTGTTTGGAGACAACGTTCTTCAAGTTTTGTTCATCACAAAGTTCATTATTTGTACACAAAAATTAATAAATTAATTTAAAGTATTAAAAAAAGTTGATTTCCTTCTGGACAAAACAAGTGCAACTCCACAAAATGTTGACCAAGCTGTATTACGCTATCAATATTTTGTGGCAAATCCTTTGTTGTGGATCACAGCCTTGCATCTTCTAGGCATAGATTCGATCAGGTGATCAATGAAACTTTGTGGAATCGCTGCCCAGGCCTTTTGGATTTGTTTAAACAGTTGATCCTTTTTACGAACACCTTCACGATTAATTCTGTGGTTGACGATCTTCCACAGGTTCTCAATAGAGTTGAGATCCGGAGATTGAGGCGGCCAATCCATCACCGATAGGTGGTTGTCTTGAAACCACTGCTTGACTACTTTTGCAATGTGTTTCGGATCGTTGTCTTGCTGAAAAACCCATTTTATTGGTATATTCCATTCAGCATGAGATAACATAACATCTTTCAGGATATTTTTATACATGAAACGGTCCATTATTCCATCGATTCGATGTATTGGACCTAGACCGTTAGTAGAAAAACACCCCCAAACCATTACATTGCCTCCACCATGCTTCACGGTCTTATGGCAGTAACGTAAATCGAGGCGTTTTCCGGGCGGTCGACGGACACGGCAAATGCCATCGCTCCTAACGATGTTGAACTTCGATTCATCACTGAACAGGACAGTTCGCCATTTCTGCATATTCCAGTCAATATGAGGTGTTGCAAACAAGAGTCTTTTCTTCTGGTTCTTTAGTGTAATTAGCGGTTTCTTTGCAGTGCATCGAGAAAACAATCCGGCTTCAACAGCACATCGTCTGATTGTTCGGTCCGATACAGGCACTCTAATTGCTTTTGTATCTCAACTGATAATATCTAGGGATCCTTCCTGACGGATCTGACAGTCATAGAATCCTCTTTAGAAGTGGTGGAACGTGGTCTTCCACCTTTGTTATCTGCTGCCAACTTCCCCGTAGAACAATATTTGGAACATAGTCTTGATATGGTCTATTTTATCAGGTGAAGTTGCCTGTTCCTCGTGTGATATATTTGTTTGCTATCAATAAAGTATTTCGGAACAAGTCCGAGTTTGTATTTTAGCATGAATAAGATATTTTGGTAAATATTTATTTGATAGATATTTTATGCATTAAAATTTTCAAGTAAAGGGTCGGCATGAGTGAATTTATCTTTATTATAAATTAATCTTGATGCATGTTTCTGATGTATGTAGAGTGAATTTAATTTAGTTTTATGGGTACTTCCCCATGCAATATTAGCGTATGTTAGGTAACTTTGAATATAAGAAAAGAAGAGAATTTTTAAGTTCTCTTAATTACAAAAACGATTATAACGGCGAACCAACATAACGTCTGCGTCATATTGTAAATATATGTAAATAGTTGCGTCATATTGCAAAACCGAACACTATATTCGGCAATCTTTGTCATTTACGAAATAATCATATTTAAAATTTTAGCTTCCATAGTCATATGCAACTGGATGAACTATATACTAATAAAATCAATTAAAAATCATTGTTTAAAAGAAATATCAGTCTGTCCATTTCTTTTTGGTACTCTTTTTTTAGATTTTTCTTTCTTCTTCCTTTTTTTTTTGGTAACAGCGGGCATCTTCTCTCTCTCTCTCTCTTTCTCTTTCTCTCTCTTTTGCTACAAATATCACATTCTGCTTTTTATTTTCAGATTTATTTGCTAAAACATAATCTTGAATAAGACAAATATTTGTCTAGGCGCAATCATTTGTTACTTGCACGTTATTTACAAGCCAAGCAAACTTTCCATTGCTTCCATAATAATTCCAGCAACTAGAATCTTCCTTAATCCTCTTATTAAAATTTTGTTGATAAATATCAGCAATGTCAAAAAGGATCCTGCTTTCCTTGCCAACAAGTTTAGGAATACTCTCAGGTTTCTATCCAAATCAAGAACTATTTTTGGTGGACTGCGTCTAAATATCGCTTTCTTTACATCGATGAGCATCTTTTTTATTTCTACATTTGTGGTATCAGGCAGATCTGTGAAATTAACTATTTGTTCTAATGCGAAGTTACCTAGTTGTTCATCAAAACACCAAAAGGTGCAATACAGCTTGAGGGAGAACAAAATACTTTATTAATTCAAAGAACCGTCTTTGTGAAAACATAATTTTTAATAAAATACCGTGTAGTTTTTTTTTTTAATTATTTTATTTAATTTAGGTGCCCCAAGAAGTCCTTACGGTCTTATCAAAGAGCATCGCGGATAGTTATCACAATTTAAAGTTAACCAACATTCCACTTTTAAAAAAAAATGTCCGATGGTATAGTTTTAAATTGTCATAAGCAGTTAAAGCATTACGAAGTAAAGATAAAAGTATTGAAAAATTGGTTAACAATATTTACTGATTTAGGTTAAAATTGGTTTTATTTTAATTTAGACATTGTTTCAATACTAATTGAGAAGAAGAAATTTAATAATTTAGAAATTTATTATCAGTCGTTTCAAAAAACACAACATAAAAATAACTATAAACTCTAAATAAATTTAGTAAATTTTGTTAGAAATGGCTCTCCCTACAGCTTGTCTGTTATAATACCTCTTTACAAATAAGTGTGACGGTTTAAACTTTTTATTTAAGCATTTTCCATGATTTTTATACTTTTTGGAGCAATTTTGGTCAAAATTAAGCAGTTAAAACAAAGATAGAAAGTGTTCTGTCAAGTATTTTCTAAAAATGGAGGTTCACACACAGAAGATATAAAATAGAATAACTACAAAAATTATCATCAATATAAGTTATCACAGCATATGAAATTACTTTTCTGGCGTTTGTAACAAAATCGCTATATTCCATTTCCTTTTACATTATTTTTGCTTCTGAGATTAGAATTTTAAAAAATTTAAAAATTAATTTTTATTTATTTCATGGGGTTGCTATTCTACTCTTTAGAAACCATTGGACATACATAGTATTTATGAAGATGTTAGCATCATTTTCCTCTTCATCTGCTCTTAGTTTTTTGTGTGTAACCCTGATCGTTCGAATTCAACCCTGATCGTTCGAATTCAACCCTGATCGTTCGAATTCAACCCTGATTGTTCGAATTCAACCCTGATCGTTCGAATTCAAAACTAAGTTGAGAAATTTAGAAGTATGAATATATTAGGCTGTATGAATTTAAAGTTCTCAATAACTTAGCCAAACGAGTAATAACTGCGATAATCACTTTTAGTAAAATTCAAGTAGGTTAGAGCCTTGTTAGCTCTTACATACAGTATTGAACCAAAGGTTTGAGTCCAATTTAAAATTAGCTTATTCTCTATCTTGTTTTTTATTAAAGATCTGCCTAAAGTCTAATTTTTTCAAAATTAACATAAACTAATACATAAAGCCGACGAATACTTTCAAACAAAATAGTATCGATAAAAACGTTAAAAATCGCTCTTGTCTAAACCTCTCCCTTAAAGCTCTTGATAATGTAAACATCTTTTAGAATGCTTCATGAATCCTGAGCATCTGGAGTGGATATATTTAACTTATAGTTTATCTTTGTAATAGAGATGTTTTTCTACTGCACTATTTTTTCAACATATCTTTTCATAATTTTTTTTTTTAATTTGCATGTTTTTTAATGCTTACAAGGAGGTGTTTCACGCACAGTAACAGCATTAATCCTAATAATGGCAGACTTAAATTTGAAAGTTAAAACAATTAGAAATAAACTTATTAGATACTAGTTAATCTACTGTCTTTACGGTCTTATCACGGAGCACCGCGGGAGAGCATTTAACTAGAAGTTCACGCCTCCTTCCTTACCAATGACGCTTATTGGGCTAGAGCTGGCGTCGAACCTCGGACCTTTGGGTTCTGAGCTAGAACTCTAACCTAACAGCTGGTGAAAAAGATGATGTATGTGCACACCTATGAAATCAGCATAGCGCAGAAATAAAGTTAATTGAAGGTAATCTGTTTTATAAAAACAATGGAAAAGTAACATTATCCTTTGTTCCTGCTGGTGATACATCCTTTGTCAACGTATTGCTTCCATTATATAAGCATTATTTTAACTGTTTATTAACATAATGCTTCTACGGCTCTATAAAAATATTTGATGTTACATTTTCCGTAAGATATTACATTACTTTGATTACTGTGTTCTGTAAAATAATTATTAGTGTTGTTATTGACTTCGGCTAAGAAGTTTAAAGTCAAAATTAGTCGACTTTGAAAATCGATTAATCAATTTAATCAATTATCGACTTCCTACTAATCGACTAAAAGTCGATTCAGTGGAGTAAAAGGCTTAAAATCCTAATATCATTTTATTTAATTTTTAATCTTTAATTTTTAATCTTTAATTTTTAATCTTTAATTTTTAATCTTTAATTTTTGTTTGTTCATTTAAGAACACGTGCCCCCCTTTCTGCCCTCCTCCTCCTTTTTTTATTAAAGCCCTTTTTTTATTAAAGTCCTTTTAATAAAAAAAGCCCTCCTTGGCTGAGGGCTTCCAAACTTGGC